TAATATTTCAATATCAACATCATCTCAATATCAAAATATTAGGTTCTTTTTTTAAATTTTGACAAGTTATACTAATATTCTTATTCATATGACTCAATACTTATAACTTAATAAATATGTAATTGAGTTCTATTTTATATCAGCATTTTTATTTATGTTTTAACACTTGACTATTTATTGTCAACAAAGTGTAGTTGGTTAAGGTAGGATTGTAATTAGTTAAGAGATAACTAAACTTTTTATTAAAATATAATTTTCATTATATAATAAAAATTTGGTTTTTTATATGATCAAGTTTAGATTAAAGATGATAACCTTGTAGATTTAGTTTTAGTTATTTGATCTAACCCTAATAAAATATGCAATAAATTTGTTACATTTTGAATATTCATAAGTAAACTGTTTAATTGGAGACACAATATGAATAGTTTGCTTTTGTTACTTTTCTAAGTAATTTTTTCTGTGAAAGACTGTTAGATATTATTTAAACGAAATAAAAACTTTATATTAAATCTTGGTAAAAATAGTGTTTTTTAATTCAAATTTTTTTGCAAATTTTAGTTTGCGATTGCAACAGTTTATTTTTCTTATAATCATGCAAGTTAATTGCAATAGTATTTACCCACAATTTTGAAGGTGTTACTTTTATTAGGTGTTAATAGCAATCCAGGGTATGGTTACTAACAATCAAGTATGTTGTTACTGCCAATCCAGTTTATTACTGGCATTAAAATAGTGAATGTTTACATGAGGTAATTATTAAAAAAAAAAAAAACTTTTTTTTATTTGAGTTGCTGTATTACCTTCTCATTGTGAATACTGTTTCAAATGACTATTATAAATTTTATTAGTCAAATGTACTGTTTAAAATTGTTTACTAAAAGTCAAGACAAAACTGATATATCTTAACATTATGCTAATTTTAAAACTGAATTTATTAAATTAAAGTCTTTATTATTTTTTATTTGCAAAATTTAAATTTTTTTATTTTATTTTATCTGCTTTTTTTCTAAAACAAAAGCTATGACACATTTAGTTTGAAATTCAGTTTTAAGGTAAGTTTAGAATTCAGCCACATGCAAGATTAATTTTATGTGCCTTTGGTATTTAATAATACTGTTAATAAAGTATTAACTATACATTTTATGGTAATATACTGTAATTAATTTATTTTTATATTTTAATTATGTAAAGTATTATATATGTTAACTTGTGTAAATAAAAAATTACCAACAGCAACAAAAAATATAAACTATTTTATATTTTGTGACAAAAAAAAAAAAAAATTCATTTAAACTTACCAAGCATTTCACATGGACAAACCATATTTTTACAATAGCAATCTGAACCAAATTTAAATCCTGCTGGGGGTTTTGCATCTAAATTGTTCCAGTCTAGAAAAAAAATCTTTTAGATAAAATACCTATATTAAAACAATAATTAAAACTTTACATTAAAAAAAATCTTTTTAAAAAAATGATTTTGAAATTCTATAACTAACATATTTTAATAATGTTGTTGAGGTTATTAAATTATTTAGTTGCAATAAGCTCAGTGGTTTAAACATTTTTGAATTTAATTACAAATTGCAACTATAATTTTAATGTTTGTAAAAGTAATTATGAGTTTATAGTTGATCACTAATTTAACAAGTTAAACATAAAATTCTTTCAAATTCAAATGAAACAATTAGTTTAAAAAATTGTTCTATATAAATGACTTATTTAAAAGAGATTTTCAGCTTATAAAAACTATTAACATATTTAAAAGCATATTTAAAAACCACTTAATTATTAATTTAAAAATTTTCACCTCTTAAAAAAGATGTTTAAAATCATATATTTCTCATAATTTTAACTTATTAATATCTTTTTTTCAAAAACTGGCTTTAATCAAAAATACATATTCATAATGCACTAGCAAAATGTATAACATTTTAACTTTACACTCAAAAATGGAAAACAAATAATTATAACTAAAAAAAAAAACACAAGCAAATTGAATATATTTTTAAAAATGTAAATATTATTACTTAATAAAATTTTGACCAATTTAGCAAAATTTTTTGCTTTTAATTTTGATTTGACTTAAGACCAATGAATTTTTTAATTTTCATAAAACTTATTCTGTCTAAATTTCAAGTTACAAATTAATTTCTTAATATCAAATTAATATTTATCCACTCTTTCTAAGAATGCCTAATGCAGTACATTTTGAACTCAAGACAAGTGGCTTTATAGTCTTAAACTTAAAATAATTTAATCCATAAAACTAGTATATAATAATTTATATATACATAAATATTGTAAAGTAAATTATTGATTCTAGGTTTAAATGCAGTTGCTAAAGTCAAAATTTATTTTAAAAAATTCAAATTATAAAGTACTTTCAAGTTAAAAAATAAAAAGATAAAAAAATAAAAAATAAATGATTGAATTGACTAAAAAATCTGACTATAAAAATCAATCAGGTTTATATACATTAGGGTGGTTCAGAATTTCATAGTGTTCCTAGCCACTCTTCACAAGCCTAATTTCATAAAAAATTATACAGAAAGTTAATCTGAGCAATTAAGGGTAAATTTAAAAAAATTAATAATTTTGGCCTACTATATTTAAATAAAAAACCACACAGAAAATTAATAATTTTGGTCTACTATATTTAAATAAAAAACCATACAGAAAATTGGACTAATCTGAGTAAGTTAAGGATAAATAAGATTTTAACACTGCGCAATTACCTAAGTTTAGGACATTTTAAAAGAAATTGTACTGTTTAGTACATAATTATTTTGTTTTTCTGAGTAACTTATCTAGTACAATTTGTAAACATTTTACTATCAACAACAATGTTTTTAAGTATATATATATATATATATATATATATATATATATATATATATATATATATATATATATATATATATATCTTGAATTTTTATTTTGACTATAAAAGAAAAACTTAAGAGTTAGCAATTTGCATCAGCTGCTCAATACACATATTACATAATTACTATTAATTTGTTATTTTTGTAATTAACTTGTAATTGGTTAGAGTAATTCAATTTACCATTAAATCTAATGAGGACTTAAAACAATGGGTTTTTTTATAAGTAAAAAAGAAGGTCTGCAGAAATTTGGTAGTCAGCAAACTGATTCTCTTCAACAAAAAAATTGATTGCAAGTTACAATGCTGTTTCAAGTTCTGCTGTTTCATTAAACCACCTCAAAAAACATCTCACTGTAAGAAAATGTCAATCACACAAGATTAACTCAGAGGATTGATCACAGTGAAATAAAAAAAAAAGTTGAATGATGAATACCAGCAGTTGCATGCCGGATGAAATACAGGATGAAATCTGCAGATTTAAAGAGCAAATGTTCAAATCTAGAAAATTCAAATTTTTTGATTTAGCCATCAAAAATAAAGAAACCATCTTTGGTGGTTTACCATGACAAACTCATTATTTGTCACAAATAGTAAAGGCAGACAAACTATGTATATATATAATTATACAGTTTCTAACTATGCAGAGAGAAGATGACATTAGTTCGAGCATTTTGTGTCATTGGTGATGCAACTTGCATTTAATCTACATGTAATGAAGTTCTTCTTGAATACCTTGTGAGCCTAGTATTCTTTGACAATTGAGTTTATCTAGATGTTAAAAAAGCCACAATAGCCAATTTCTAGCTTTTAAAGCTTTAGACAGCTCTGAAGCGTCTAAATCTTTGAAAAAATGTGTTGCTTGAACAGTCTTGAAAACAATTAATGATAGGCCTAATAATGGCTCTTATCCAGAATTGGAATGATAAAACTTTTGTTGCCAGACTTACCCATCTTCCTTTAAAGAAGCCATAACAGCAGAAGATGCCTTTCAAAAGATTTTTTTGAATTAAAATAAAACTTTATTTTTGCTTTGTACATTATACTCATGTTGTTCTTTTGAAATTAGTGTTAAAACAATAGCCAGAATTACATTAAATGATTATGTGTTCCTAATAATCGTTTATTTTCATAAATAACTATTGGGACATATTGACCATTGATTTTCTTTGAAATTTTATTGGTTTGATCAATTGAGGCATGATGTTACATTTGTAAAACTAAAATATTAACTAAGCTTTTTGATTATATACTAATATCTATAATATTTCTGTAAAAATATATATTTATATATATTTTTACAGAAATTCTGTTATATAAAACAAAGTAATCCTTGTAGATAAAGGAGCTTCCTAACTTAAATTTTTTAAACCAATTTAATGAACATATATAAACAGATCAAAAGTCATTTGAATGAAAACAACATTACTTATTGATACATTTATAAAAATCATCAACTGGTTCATATAGATGAAAAAGTCTTATTGATAATTTGAAGCACATTTCAGTTTAATTTTAAAATAAAAATTACCACATACCTTAAAGTCCTCCATATGTGACTGTTTGAAACCTGAGATACTTAAATCGTATGTAGTATGTTTGAAAAAACTTTATGTATGTTTAAAAAATTACTAAAACTTTGATAATAAGATATGCAACCTAAGTACTTATAGGTTTTAAATCTAATTTTGTAAAAAACCAAAATAACTGAAAAGCTTTCAATAAATTATCAAAATCTTTTTATTTTAGTTTTTAATTTTTGTAATAAAGTGTAATACATTTTAACTTGAAATTCAATTTACAATTCACTTTATTCTTTTAAAATTGCTTTATTTTGCATGAGTGTTTTGACTTCCAAACAGCATAAATGATTATTTGTTCTCCTAAAAAATACAGATTCTAATTAATCAATCATAAAAACAGACAATAAATTCTGATATGTGGAAATGGAATTGTACAAAGAAAAAATAGAGTCTGGACAACCTTATATAAACTCTAGAAGGATAACTGAAGAAAAAAAATCAGCTGAAATTGCATACTTTCATATGAATAAAAAATTACACCAGAATACAGAAAATTTATATTCAAACATTTCTGGAGTTTAGAAGACAAACAAGAAAAACTGTAAAATTTAGTTATTATTGTATAACTTGTATATTAAAAATTGTACAAAAAAAAGCAATAGTACAGAAAGGTATTTAATAGAGTTTAAAATATTTCAGATAATAGCAGAAGAAATATATTTGAAAAAATGTTTTCAATGATTGTAGCAGAATGGTCAGTAACTCTCGTTGTTAGAATAATAAATAGGCGAATATTATAAGAAGTAAATTTAAAAAATCAGAAGTTGCAAAGTCAGAGTTTTTAAAATTACTTAAATTTGCTAAGTAGAAAGACAGATTTATTTCAGAAAATATTTTTTGGAGAAGGACAGATATTTTATTATAGAAATCGTGTACATCCATGCTAGGGTGTATATATATGCAACTAACAATATTTGATTTTTGGAAAAAATTATTTCAACAAAAGTAGATTCTAAATAGTTTGGTGTGTATATGACAGGGTTGCCACCATTATTTAGGAACAAAATTCCCTGATTTTCCCTGATGTTTTTGCCAAAATTTTGCTTTTTGCTCCCTGATTTTCCCAGATTTTTTGCTAAAATTTTGCTTTTTTTCCCCTGATTTTTCCAGATTTTCCCCCTTGAATCTTGCTTATTTCCACCTGATATTTTCAGCATTCAAATGCCTAAACATAACATTTAAACTTCTCCAATAACCCCAGCATATTTTTACCTCTAAAAAACAGATACTATAATCCCCCAATGAGTAATGAACCAATCAATTTACTTGAAAATTAAAATAAATAATCAAATACTTCAATCAACATATGACATTTTTCTTTGAACCAGGGTATATTTAAAACGGATATGTTCAATAGACATTGAAAACCTGTCAGACTTATTTAGGGTACAAGATAATGAAATTCAAAAAAATGTCATGAATGTTATAAATTTCTAATTGTATGTTTTACATACGTCTTTTAATACTTTTTGCTTTTCTCTAAGTCCCAATATTTCTTGATCTAAAAGCATTATCACACTATTTTCTTTTGCTTGGAGTTTTCTATTTTCTTCCTAATAGTTTTTATATTGTAATGATGCACTACAAACAGCATTTATCAATTCATTGTTTATTTCTATTTGTTAGCCTTCAATTTGTTTGACTCCATAAAATCCTTGATAGTGCGATGAGATATAAGTGACATTCCTTTCATTTTTTCATTGAGTAAATTACTGGTAATACTGAAACCTCTCTCAATTGATGCTTGCCCAAAATAAATATCAAAACTTTTTTTTGATAACTTTAATGGTTTCAAAATGAAACTTGTTTAAACAATATCCAGTGTAAAAGTATTTGAATACATGTAAAAGAATAGATGAACTTTCCTCTAACAACTTTAAAAATTTTATGAAATACTTAGATGAGTCATACTTTTAAGTAAATTCTTTGCTGTAGGGTGTTCTAAAAATTTAGAGTATCTGGATTCAACATGATTTAGATGGCTGTTCCAAAACTGAATATTTAGATCTAATTGGCCATTTTTAAAAGAATCGTTCAGACTTTCATCAAGTGAAAGAGTATAATAAGGAGATTTTTTTTATATTTTTAGTTAAAAGTCTGTAAAATTAAGGCCCGTTACCAAAATTAATTATATAACCTAGTTTTGTTTCACTCATTTCATAAGATTTAGCAATATTGCTATCAGGAAATATTTTCTGGTAAAGTAGGCCATTTTCATTGCATGAGTTTAATGAAAAATTATTCTGTATTGCATTTAAAACAGAGTAGATTTCTGTACAACTCTTATCACATTAATATACTGTTTGAAGTGTTTGCTTTATAGGTGTAGACTGTGCAGGCGAGATACTGGCTTTGACTTTTGTGCATATTTTTTGCCATCCATGTAACTTATCATAACTCATCTGCATATTTGACAAATTAAATTCAACTTTTCATATTTTGCACTTGGCAGACTTATTTACACTGCCTATTACCAACCATTTTTCAAATAAAGGATTGAGTTGCAAACATTGAATTAATGTAAACACAATATGATTAAGTTTCTTGTTAAATGTTAAACATTAACCCTGGTACCCTTAAATTGGTAAAATGTTAAACATTAACCCTGGTACCCTTGAAAAGTAAGATTTTTATTATAAAAAATATCAAAACATTAAAGAAAAGTTAAAAAGTTCCCTGATTTTCCCTGATTTTTCCCTAAATCAATCATTTTCCCCTGATTTTCCCTGATTGTATCTAAGTTTCCCTGATTTTCCCTGAATTCCCTGATTTGGTGGCAACCCTTATGACATTAATAAATTTTGTTCTTATAACTTTGACATCACAAACTCTATGTCCTTTTTGCATTTAAACATATTCTATTTACAAAAGCACTTTGAAGATCTGAATATATTATTATCATTGATTAGTTTTAAATTAAGCATTATTGGAGTTACAGAAACAAGATTGAAAAATTAATTTCCTTCCACACATCCAATTATCATTTAAAATTGTAATTTTGAGCACACACCAAATCTTCTTGTGGTGGAATCTTGTTAGATTTATCAAAAAAAATTGATTTGAAAAAGAAGAGAAGATTTGATCATAATGATCAAATTTTGTTTGAAAAAGAAGAGAAGATTTGATCATAATGAAAAAATTTTGAAGATTTGATCATAATGAAGATTTGATCATAATGATCAAATCTTCTCTTCTTTGAAAAAAAAGAGAAGATTTGATCATAATGATCAAATCTTCTCTTCTTTTTCAAATCAATTTTTTTTGATAAATCTAACAAGATTCCACCACAAGAAGATTTGGTGTGTGCTCAAAATTACAATTTTAAATGATAATTGGATGTGTGGAAGGAAATTAATTTTTCAATCTTGTTTCTGTAACTCCAATAATGCTTAATTCAAAACTAATCAATGATAATAATATATTCAGATCTTCAAAGTGCTTTTGTAAATAGAATATGTTTAAATGCAAAAAGGACATAGAGTTTGTGATGTCAAAGTTATAAGAACAAAATTTATTAATGTCATAATATTGATAATCTACATCAAAAGATGAACAGTTTTCCTCATCAGAGATTGAAGCATGTGATGTAATAAATTTATTAAATTGAGTATAGATTTTATTCGATCCTGATGCTGGCAAATGTTTAGTTGATAAAGGCATCAGTTATAACAATTTTATTTCAAGAGAAGAGTAGTTTAAATTCATTAGCAAATAAGGTGTCTTTCCATAGACATTAGTCTATGGAAAGACACCTTTGGTACAATTTACATACAGCCATGATGAGCATTTTGAATGTGTTAAATTGTACCCATGATCATAAAGCTTGCTACATTTTGAAAAAGTTCAAAACAAACACACATCAAATTAAGTTGCACAGCAACTTACATTAACTTTTTTTGCACATGCAGTGCATATTAAATATAAATTATATTTAATCGAATTCTTCTCTTTTTTTTTAATAGATAATTTTACTTCTCTTTTTTTTTTACTTCTTTTTTATTTTATTTATGATTTTTATTGATTATTTGAATAGTTCAAATCTTTTTTGAATTCAAGATTCTTTTATTAACTAGCAAACGTTTTTTTTCTATATTTTTGGTTTCTTTATGGAAAGTTGTATTTAAATTGAGTATTAATTTAAAAGTACTTTTTGCTTTTCTTTTTTCTTTTTTCTAATCTTCTATTTGTTCATAAAATTATTTCTTTACTTTATTCAGTTTAGATTAAATATCTTTTCTTTTTTCCTATTTATTTTTACAGATCCATTAGAAAAACACATCTGCCATCCCTGAAGACGTTGCATGTATAAATAAAAGAGTAGTTTGTTGCATTTAGGAATCACTTTAAAAGCATTTATAAACAAAATACCTGAAACTGTTTCATTTAATAAATGAGATATCTCATCAGAAGTTAGTGGAACAGACCACATCCTAATATCAGATAGTGCTCCGTTAAGATTTGAGTAGTTGTAATAATCAGCATACACAAGAAGATACTCATTATACAAACAAGTATACGAAGAAACACTTGAATGGTTTCCCACACTAATAAAATCATTATTGTGATACAAAAGCAATGTATCATTTTGTTTATACCATACAAGTGTCAGAGTATAAGGGACTGCAATTGGATTCTCCATGTATGCTACATACATACTGTCTTTTGCAATGACTGTAGCTACAATTTTATTATCACTGTTTAACTGAATTTGAAAACCATTTCCTTGAGCTTTAATTTCATAGCCCCCAAGCCCAGCAGAAATAATTGGCGAAGTCATACCAATATCTGAAAAAGAAAAAGCTTTCAGGTAATTTCTAATAATCTAATACAAGAATACTTGAAAATTAATTGCAGTATATAATTTTTTTGCAAACATTTTCATGAATCCTAACAAACAAATAAAAAAAGTTCATGTGTTTTGAGATTTACAAAAATATTTCCTATTGAAAAAAAAAATGTTGAAAAATAAAATTTTTAATTGCAGAGTAATTTAAAATTGACATTAAATTTAAATTTAAAATGAATAAAAAATTAACACAAAATGAAACAAATAGTTTCATAGATGTGAAACTTTTAAAAACAGTTTTATAGAAGTGAATATTTTTTTGTTAATCCAAAAGAAATAAACACAATCAATTGTGTTGTTGAGATTTTTATATGTTGTGCTACGGCAAAACATATGTAAAATTCTCATCTGAACATAACATCCTAAATTTTGCACAGCGCCACACTTTTATCATAATTCAGTAAAACAATATTATTTAATTAAACAATTTATAATAAGTAAAAAAACTTATTTTAAAATAATAATAACTTTTATTAAATAAAATACTTTTTCTTAAGGGTTATTAATAGTCTTCATGATTAAACTCATAAAATTTTTTTTTAATTGTAAAAAAAAAAAAAAAAAAAAAAAAAAACATTTGTTTGGTTTTAAAGTTGCAATTTAAAACAAATTAACATCAAATATGCACCTAAAATAATGTTAAACTCCAATAGAATTACTTAAGATTTTGTTGATTTCAAATAGAACTACTTAATCTTAAGTAATTCTATTGGAACATTATAGATATTGTTAACTTCCAATAGAATTACTTAAGATATTGTTAACTTCTGATAGAATAACCTAATGCTTTTTTTTATACTTAATAGTATTAACATTTCTTGTTGTTTTTTCTTTTGTTGGTTTTTAATAAAGTTCAATGATTAAGATTAACTTTTATTATTTATGGACCCGGATTTATTTATGGACCCGGATTATCTGCAATATTAATCCATGTAGAATTAGGTCTTTTTAGAAAAAAATGTTGACCAAATAAACACAGTTTATTTTGATCTAGCATGCCACTTCTGATGATTTAGAAACTGCAAAAGTCTTTATTAAATCATCTTTTCATTTAGTATTCCCCAATATGCATCAAATCAACAAGATCAATATTCCAACTTTTCAAAAATATCATACATTTTGGGTGCAAATTCATAAAATTCCACTTGAGGCTATTTAAAATATTTCTTATAAAAAAAACAGTGTATTAATTATACTTTTGGGATGTCAATTGTTTATTCCACATATTTAAAACATTCATGGCTGTACCTCAACAATTGTTCAAAAATTCAATAATCTTTAACTTTTGACAAAAAAAGTTTTAAATTTAAAATACACCAAAACAAATTTTGTTAATTACAAAAAAAAAAAGTTATATAAATAATTTTTCCATTTTTTAAATGTATAACATTTACTATTCAATTTAACTATATTTTCAAATCAAGTAACTTATAATATTGAAGAAAATTGCTGTTTTTTTTATTTTAATTAATAAACCTGAATAAAATATAGTTAATGCTGAAAAAATGATCATTTTAAAATATTAGAAAGTTTAGTTTAAAATAAAATTTTTTATTATAACCATAATTATATTAATTATAATATCTTGAAATTTTTTTTATTGAAATTTTCTCCTAATAACACTACAGTATGATAACATACAGTAAAAAATGTTTTGTTAAAAATATTAACACCAGCAATCAACAGTAACTACAAAAAATGTTTTGTTAACAATGTTAATACCAATAATCAACAGCTATAAAAATGCTAATAATAGTAAGAAGTATGATTTGGATGCAATATACTTTAATACTAAAAACTTTATTTTCCTGTCTCGACAAAAAATTCATCACTTTTTTATCTCTTAGAACAGGGAGCCAATCTTAAATCTGATCTCTCTTTTTTAATACCTGACGTGCAGTGACTTGCAGAGACATGCAGTGACTTGTAATTTTATTGCAAAAAAACTTATTTACTTCAAATAACTTTTGCAAAATTGTTGATATTCCTATATTGGTAAATGGCAATATTCTCACTGAGTCCTCTACTCTATGTCATCTCCAATTACTATACACTACTGACCTTTCATGGATATCATATATACAATCCATGTCAGCATCTGCAAAGGTTGCTTTCCATTACTTTACTCCAAATCTCTATCTTTATTTGCCCATGTAGGGAATAGTTTTACCACATTTGAGTCGGTCCAAATATGTATTGAAAATATAGTTAGACCTGCTTTATCCTGCTAAACTTAAGCCACTGCCCCAATGTTGTAATGTTGAATTTCTTTTTTTCTTTTTGACAAATACTCAGTTACTAGGGAGTGAATTACTTTTTTAAAAAAATTAAAAAAAAAAATGCATCTGGTAAAAATGATATATTAGTTTTTTACATACGACAGATATTTTTTCTTTTTTCAGACGTATTTGTCTTATGGAAATAACAGCTAAGTAAGAACTAATTATGGTTTAATTCTTAATCATGGATAAGTTGAAGTATGAACAAGTTACACTAATTCAACCCTCGGAATTAGGAAAAATGAGGTCAGAAATTTATTGCCAACCTCAAACTGATGGAGGTCGGCATTAGGTAGGCAAAAAAAATTTGACACAAAGAGGTTACCATAAAATATAGAAATGAGGACGGCGATTTTTTGCCGGCCTCAAACATTAAGGTCAGCATTACTGAATGCCAATTCTAATTCAGAGGGTTGCTAATTTGTCATTTTTTGCAGTACTTCTACATGTAATGAGATATATTTTTAACGTTTTACTTTTAATTTTACTTTTGTTACTTTTCTTGCTTTTTAATTTATAACAAGTTACTTTCAGAAAAAAATTACAAAAGTATTTGAACTTTATTGGTTCGAATGAATTATATAATAAGTATAATATCTCGAAACCAAAACTAGTATTGCTTGGCATTAGATTCCATCCATGCATCAAGATGCCATGCAATAAGCAAACTGACTTTCTGTGTTTACAAAATGACAGGTTTCATGGAAAACAGCCGCAAAGTAATACATATACAGAAGTTAATAATAAATTATTAGGTCTGCTGTTTGTTGTTTTTTATTAGACAAGGTAGAATTTAATGTACATGTCTGTGGAAAGCATAAATAGACTAATAACTGATAAATGTGATTAATGGTGTTTGAGACAATCTTGATTTTCAACAATTTCAACGCTGAAAGTAGCATTTATTACTAGAGTCTCTGATAAGAAGATTCTCTCTTAAGCTTTAAATACCATGCAGTGTGAAACAAAGGTCTTCATGGAATACTTGCTGCCAAATTCAATAACTTTGAAAGAGAAAATGCATTTCCTTTATGGCAACAACTCAATCCATAGCCTCAAGCTAATGCAGAATTAATAGCAGCAGCAAATTCCAAAATCCAAAATTTAAGTTTGAACCAATAATAAAAAACAAAAAAGAAATGGTCTGGAATTCCTGAAGAACAAGATTCAACAACAGTAGCTGGCTATATGTCACAGTGACAAAGCAAGTGAAAGTTCAGCATATGAAGCAGCCATGTCTAAAGTTGAAGATTGTCACATGACACTTGTACTGCTGCTGATAAAATTATTTCAACATACATTAGTAGCAACAATCAGGTAAGCAGAGTCCCAAAAGGACTTTGGCTTTATTTCTCTATTTTCTCCAGGTCTGTAGTGTGGACACTACAGAAGCTCTAAACATGTTGATTGACTTATGATCTGCTATAAGAAAAATATTCACAAGATTTAATGACTTTGAACTTATTGTTTTTTGGCCCAGAGTTCCAGAGTCCTTACCACCATTATACATAAGGACTCCAGGATCAGAAAATGATTGTTTCGTTCATTTAAAAGTCCTAATTTGTTTCCTTTAGTAATTCATAAGCTTTTTTATATTTTTCGAGCTCCTGGAAACCAAAAACTAGAAAAGAAGTAAACTTTTTTTAACTGACTCTGCCTCCCTGGCACCAATTCATTGTTTAATGACCTTCATTGCTCTCCACTGCTAAGAATGTCTTTTTTTGAGTTTAATGCTGCTTAGCCAGCATGTGCAGTCTACAAACATTCATTTAGTGTAGCAGGTTAAGTGTTCATGCCAAACCACACTAATATGAAAAATGTTCTATTTTTAAAAGCAGCTGCTAATACCATACATAAGCTCTAAATATTTAGCATCAATCTATAAGATAAGTCTATGGTACACTTGTTTTTTAATGCTAACCATGTCCTACAACAAAACATATGTAATTATTAAGAAATAACACATTTTATAAATCTAGCATAAGCCTGCCAGTTTATTGCAATAAATATATGATTGATTGATAAATTGAATAAATGCTAAGTTTTATTCCAATATGATTTCATTTCTTGTATGTTTATGTTATATTGTAATCAATTTTGCAACCCGCCAAAGTACATTTTAGTTGTAACTAAAAAGTGCTTTCAACAGACTGTACTTTTTTATTTTTACTTAATTATTTTGGTTTAGCATTACGTTTTACTTTTTATTAAAGTATTTTTAAAGTGTAACAACCCTAACCCTGTCAATCAAGACTACAAGCTTCTCCTACAAACACCCACATTTATAGGTTTCATATCAGAATTTGCTCCTTGGTAAGTTACCATCACTAAAAAAATTGTTTGAGAATACCTGAATGTAGCAAAATATTGTGTGAAATTACTATGCAATTAAATTTGCTAACCCTTACTCTAAACCTAAAAAAATTTAACTCAAAGACAAAACACTTTTGAGGATAATCAACTTTTAGAATAGACTTTTTAAATTTGTTATTTATAGTTTTAATAGCATAATACTATTTATACTTTTTAGTAATATTTAAATAGTTTTATAATTTAAATTTACATTTTTTACTGTTTAGCTATACTAAAAGTCTACCTACATTTACTTCCATAAAATTTAATGTCAGGTGCGTTGTTTAAATAAGTCACATTCAAAACATTTGCCATGGTAACACCATTTAATGCAATGTATTGATATTCTCCTCCTTCAAGTTCAAACTAAAACAAAAAAAATAATATGTTGAACTTTGTTATAAAATGTTAAAAAAACAATTTATGAATATGTGTTTATATATATATATATATATATATATATATATATATATATATATATATATATATATATATATATATATATATATATATATATATATATATATATAAATATATATATATATATATATATATATATATATATATATATATATATATATATATATATATTATATATATATATATATATATATATATATATATATATATATATATATATATATATATATATATATATATATATCAGGGTGTTACCCAGAAAAAAAATTAATAGAATCTTTTTGCGAAATTAGGAACTTAGATGCGGCTAAAAAAAAAAAAAAAGGTGAGTATACTTCCATTTTTTTGATATAATTAAATTTTAATCAAAATAAATGTTCTTTTTTTGCTGGGTGTTATAGTTATAGCATGATTATTTTTTTACTTTATTAATGTTTAATTCTAATTATTTAGCTTGTTTCATTATGGGCAATCTTCTAAAGTTTTCATTCTTAAATCGTTTCTCCTCTTTGTTTGATATACTGTAGCCGTTTTTCAAAACGCTTTAATAGGCTTATTACGTATTTTAAGAAAAATGTAATTAAAAAAAATTATTTGGAGAAAATCTTTGTAAAACCCTTTTTGAAACTAATAATTTTTATGATTTTTTTAGAACTCTTTAAAAATATATATTCAAAAACGTTTGTAGACATCTAAACTAGCTTATTTGGTAAAAAAAGTCAAATTGATTTTTTTTTTACTTGCTTTGAAAAACGGCTGCAGTAAAGAAGAGAGAAAACAAGAACTAAAGACAATTGTTTGCTATTTTAATGAATATATTATTAAATTTCATTGAAACTTTGATCTAGATTAATTGCGTACATCGCTTTTTAATACAGTTTTAAAAAGTTTAAACGATTAATTCTGAAGAAATATATTTGACTATATAACTATTTAAATACTTTATTATTTTAAGATACTTATAAAACTTTTTTACAAGTGTCAAATTTTTATTATTAGATAAATATAACAGTTTAAAAACTTCATCAAAATTAAATGAAATCAAAATTAAATGAAAGTTTTGGAAATCTTAATAACTTTTAATTAAAAAACTTGGTTGGCTCGTTGATTTCCATCAAATATAATGTTTGTTAAAAGATCTTTTGTTGCAATATGCTACTTTAATTTAAATAAGTAACAAAGACATATAGGGGGCAAAGCGGGTTCTTTCACCGCACGAGGGCAGCAACTAAATTTAATTGGTGTATTTTAAATATCTAGTAAATTAGGTATTTAAATAAAAAAATGTATTTAAATACAAAATTATTATTATTATTATTTTTTCAATTTACATTACATTCATTAAATATCTACATAAAGTTTGTATTTGTAATTTAAAAAAAGAATTTTGTATTTATAAATATTGGGTAATAATTAATAGTATTATAACATTGTTTATTTATCTTCTTTTACAATTAACGTAAATATAACATAGATAATACGTTTCATTGCAAGTTTATTTTTGATTATTTTTGTTGCTATTTTTAATTTACTTTACCTGCTAATTTATTTTACTGAAGTATTAATAAATTTTTTATTACAAAAACGTTATTAACTTATTTTAAAGTATAATATTTAATATTATGCAAATTTCTTTGTAACTTTACTAACTTAAGATAAACAGCAAGAACATAAATAAAAAGTTTTTGAATAATAAAAATAAAATAATAAAATATTTTATTAAACTTTAAAAAATCTTAACTCAAGATTAACTGACATCAATAAAAATTGAAATAAAAAGTTTTTTTAAACTTTTGAACAAATGATCATGTTAATTTATTTTACACATTAAAAAAATCAATAAATTTAATTCATTTTTTGCCATTAATTTCATTTTTTACTTGTCTAGCGTGACACTTATAATCTGAGACTGATTTTAAGTTTTTTTCTTTACTACGATTTTATGAACATTTGGGAATTTGAAACCAATTAGGAATACCGCGTTATACGCGGTGCCATCAGGCTGGTTAACACCCTGTGTATATATATATATATATATATATATATATATATATATATATATATATATATATATATATATATATATATATATATATATATATATATATATATACATATATGTATATATATATATACATATATATGTATATATACATATATATATATATATATACATATATATGTATATATATATATATATATATATATATATATATATATATATATATATATATATATATATATATATATGTATATATATATATATATGTATATATATATATATATATATATATATATATATATATATATATATATATATATATATATATATATATATATATTAGGGGTGTCCAAAAAACAACTTTTTTGAGAAAAACCTGCTGACACCCCCTAAATGTGTTTTATCTAATGCAAAAACACTAGGTTTAAAATTTTTTTGAACAAAAATTATTTTTAGGGGTAGCTCAAGGCCCTCAAAAATTTGACGGGTCCCTAATATTTTGAAAAAAAAACTTTTTCTAAAGTATGTCAACCTGGTACTCAAAAGAAGCGATATTGTATAAAAACTTCAAAAATAATAATCATTTTACATAAAAAACATGCCTAAAAAAAATTATTCTCAAAAAACCTGAAAATATTGACTTTTTATTTTCAGCTTAAAAACAATAGTTTTTATGCATTTATACCTAAAAAAATTATTTTTATAAAAAATTATTATCATTTTTAAATTTTTTATATAATTTTGCTTATTTTGAGTACCAGGTTGACATACTTTAGAAAAAGTTTTTTTTTCAAAATATTAGGGACCCGTCAAATTTTTGAGGGCCTTGAGCTACCCCTAAAAATAATTTTTGTTCAAAAAAATTTTAAACCTAGTGTTTTTGCATTAGATAAAACACATTTAGGGGGTGTCAGCAGGTTTTTCTCAAAAAAGTTGTTTTTTGGACACCCCTAATATATATATATACATATATATGTGTATATATATATATATATATATATATATATATATATATATATACATGATTATAATACGCATTTTTTTTTAACATTTTCTTCTGAAAAAATGGGGGTGCGTATTATACTCGAGATCAAAAAAAAAGTTATTTTTAAACAAAGAACAAACGTATAGCACAGCTGCTCACATCTTTACTGCGTAATTCAACCGCATGTTTAAAGAAATATTATAATACGCACTTTATTATTATAATACACACTTTTTTTTCACATTTGATTCCGAAAAAATGTGGGTGCAAATTATACTCGAGATCAAAAAAATAGTTGTTTTTAAACAATGAACAAACGTATAGCTGCTCACATTTTTACTGCGTAATTCAACCGCATGTTTAAAGAAAGGTTACCAAAACCGAACTCACTGTGCGTATCGCACACACGTTTATCTAATAAGTGATAGTTGTTGCAAGTACAAAAATTTATTATTTTATTCTATTTATTTCCGTAAAAATATCTTCAAGACGGTCCTATAAAGCAGCAGAAAAATTATCAATAGTTAAATATGCTGAGTCTCACAGAAATCAAGAAGCAAGTCGTCACTTTTCCATAAACAAAGCAAATGTTCAATTGTGGTGAAAAAACAAAGAAGCTCTACAAATTATGCCCAGGAAGAAAAAGGCGAATCAGGGATTACAACCTAGTTTTCCAGAACTGGAAAAGGCTGTAATGGAGTGGGTAGTAGATAAGAGACAGCAAGGTATCGGAGTTTCGTGCATTGAAATGAGACTGAAAGCTCTAAAGTCAAAAAATCTTGTGCCAACGCAACACAATTCAAAGCTTCGTACGGATGGGCAGTTTGTTTCATGAAACGAAATGGGCTTTCTGTTTGTAGAAGAACCACCATCGCGCAGCATATTCCAGGCGATCAAGAAGAAAAATTTCTTGAGTAGTTTTTGGCTTTGAATTAAACATTTAAGTTTTTTTCTAATGGTTTTTTTTTTTGTTTGTAAAAAGTTTATTAATGTTAATAAATAATTGTGCAAATTTTAAACAGTCACGGATTTTATAACCTAAGATTTTATAACCTAATTTTTCCGATTTCCAAAAGAATATTTTGTTTCCCAAAGAATTTTTAAATTTAAAAGTATTTTTTAGCTACCTTTAGTTTTACCAAAAATCCAAATAGTTTCTGTCATCCAAAACTTTTTTTATGAAACTTCTTAAATGAGAAAAAAGCGCAATATAAAAATTTTAACGAAAATATTTACAATTATTATGGAGGCAAGAATATGACAGAGTTGTGCATCAAAAACATTTTTCTCATTATTTTAAAGGGTTAATATTTACGTAAACTTAAAAGCTGGGATAAAAAAGCAATAATTTTTAATATTTTTTCACAAAAGCACTAGCTTAAATTATAAAATGGGGACAGTATCACATAAAATAATATTTGATACATAAAAAAAAAATACGCCCTTGGGATAGGCTGCATTTTGAAATTTAAAATTTTTTAGTAATTTATTTTTTAAAAAAATATTATGCATTTAATTTAACGGTAAATTATACGCAATATTCAAAAAAAATATTTTTTTTTAAGAAAAAGGCTCATTTTCACAAAGAATATTTAATTTCTGCGTTAAGTTTTGCTTTGCTGAGTAATTTTTCTGATTTCAAATAATTATTTGAAATTTTAAGAAACTTATTGGATTAAAATTATTTTAAGGATTTTTAAATAAAATGTTGATAAGTAATAGGTGCGTATTATAGTCGAATTTTAATTTTTCGTAGAAATTTCGCGCAAAATCAAGCATGCGTATTATACACGAGTGCGTATTATAATCAAGATTTTACGGTATATATATATATATATATATATATATATATATATATATATATATATACCGTAAAATCTTGATTATAATACGTATATATATATATATATATATATATATATATATATATATATATATATATATATATATATATATATATATATATATATATATATATATATATATATATATAGGATAAAAGTAAAAAAAAAAATTAAATTAAGTTTAACAAACATAGACACAACATACAGCTTGACAAACAAACACTCTTTGTTTTCATGGTAATAGTTTTAGTACCAATAAAAAAAAAATAATTTATGATAAAAAAAAAAATATCTTAAGCATTATCAAAATATTAATTAGACTTTTTTTTAATTTTGGACAAAAAAAAAACATTTATTGAGGTACTTGAAAGTGTAAAAGAAAAATTACCTCATCAACATATACATATTGATCTTGAATAAAAGCATCAGAAGATAAAGCAGATAAAACAAATGTTTGTTTTATTACATCATTACTTTTCATCTCTATTCCAGTAATAAAATATTTGTCATCAAAAGTAAATACTCTTGATTTCAAAGTTGAAATATATGTTAATGATGTTTCTGAAAAGAAAAAAGTTTTGAAAAACTTATAAAAGTTTGTTTTAATAAAAATAAAACTAGTAAAAACCAGTTTAAACAAGTTAAAATAATGTTTTCTTGTAGGGGAAAGTCGGGTAGCCCAGGATGTCAGGTAACTCTGGACACTTGATGTACAGCTTAAACTATAGAAACTATGTTATTTTAAATACTATAAAAACATTAATTGAGTGAAAATATGACATATGCAAAATATCTATTATTATATGCTGAACTGATTGGCTGGGAGTACAAGATATTGTTTCCCAACACCAAAAGAGCAATGTATCATCATATTTGATTCTCATAATAATAAATCTAATTTCTATGTAAACTAACAATATTTTATTGATTAAAAACACATTTTTATATACAACAGTTATTGAAAAAAAAAATTTTTTAATGTTTTTTAAAATCACTGGTTTTAAAACTAGCATATGTGAATGAAGTATGATCAGGTAGTATTGGACACATATTTGGAGGGTAGTTCCAGACAAATTAATCCATTTACATAATAAAAAAAAGCAACCTTTTTAAAAATTTTGAAAAGTATAAACAAATAAATGTTTATACTTTTCAAAAAGTCTTTTGACACTGTTTTCTTTTAGTACATGTGTAAAATCATTTTCCTTAAGTGTCCATGGCTATCCAACTTTCCCATAACTAATACTAATAAGTTAAAAATTCAAGTCCTTATTCAATGTTAGTTTTGTTATTATAGTCAATGTTTTAAATGAAAAGAAATTTGAAAAAATGAAACTTTCAACTTCTTTGCAACAAGAAGCTGCTGACTTTTTCTTATTTTTTCATTCTAACCAGCAGTGGTCAAAAAACTGAACTAATCTCTACAATACTTAGTTAAGAGAAGAATAGCCATTTTTAATCAATATCCTGCTTGTCATGTAAAGCCTGTCATGTAATCACAAATGATCATGAAATCAATTTTTTTAAAGTTTAATTAGTATGTATATACTATTTGTCATTGTCAAGATGACTTTAGTAAACCTAAATTAAGAACTGACATTCACGTTGCTAAGAATATTAAGAAAAATAATTTTTTAGCAAAAACAGTTAATACTTGTTTTTTGTTCTTCAACTCAACAAAAGTACAATAATAGCTTTTTGAAAGAAAATTTATTATAATTTATTATTAAAATTTATTTTAATGGCTTTTTAATGTTAAAATGCCTTATTGTTTGTTCAGAGAAAAAGATATGCCTATATCATAACTTAATTGCTGTCAGACACATTTAAGATCAGAGGCAAAACAATATGATAATGAAAAAAGGAAAACAGTAAGATTCATTAAAAATTTTACAGTGACTACTTTTTTTAGCAAAGCTACTGATTTACTTAAGACATTAAAAAAACTAATATTATAGGAATATTATAGGAGAGTTGAAAACTAGGATATTTACAAATATCTTCACTAAAACCAAAATTGCTTTGATAAACTTTACTTTTAATTTTGGTTTCCCACAACAAACAATGCCCAGCAACAAACTTGTATTTAAACTCAAAGAAAGTATGCGTAAAGAACAAAAAAATAATACACAAGATACACAAGTCTTGTAAAAATGTCATTTTCAGTCAAGTACCTTATAACATCACTGGCACTTATATAAATTTTATGAAGTCAATATTTATCAATTTTTTTAAATATAGTTCATGTTACTTGTTACATTAGTGAAATAATAGCATAAAAAATAGCATAAAGTACTAAATGCAAAAAGTAATATACTTCAAAACTTATACTAATTTATTATACTATATTATATATTAATAATTTACTGAAAATTGATATTTAAAAAAATCAAACCTGGCCCTTTATATGTTATGACTAATTTAACTTGATCTTTGTTGACATAACAAAAGGTCTCAGATTTTAATTCATTTTCAGGCATCATAATTATACCAATATAATTAACTGGGTCAGAATAATCATTTAAAGCATTGTTAAAAAGATTTAATAAATCAATGGATCTGGATCCAAGATTCATAACAAATTTTATATATTGTTTATTTGAAAGAGATAATTTTGAGTAATTATACAACATATTTTTTAGATCAACAAATATATTATTAAAAGATTCATCTTTCGACACTAGCAAATAAACAAGTATTGTAAATCCACTATCAATATTATTATAACTATATGGACTACCAATTGATAAATTAAAACTGGTTATTTCTAAAGGTAAGTTAACTTTATACATAATGGTGGATATTAATTGTTTATCTATACTTTTCCCAAATACAATAAAACCATCATTATGTGTGCTTAAATGAACCAGATTTATAGCTGTATTAAAGGTCACTTTAGGATTCGAATCGTATAACTCATCTAAACGATAAAAAACAAACTATTGATAATAAGTTAAAAAAAGATGACATATCAAAAATAAATATATAAAAACTTTTTCATTTTCTAAAGATAAACTGATAAAATTTAAATAATTTGCAATTTTTACAAACCTACATCCACACAATGCAATGATAATTAAAAAAATGTTTTTCTTTTTTTTGTCTATATTTTCATACAAAAAATAATTATTTGATGTTTTAATGTAAAACATTGTTAAAAATATTTGTTTGTAAAGGTTTTTAAAGAATAAAACAACATTCAATACTTATTTTTTATAAAATTTTTTAATTAACATTTTATTGAACGTATTATATTTCTAAAAAATTAATACATTCAATAAAATTCATTTAAAATTCATTAATTCTCAAATCAGATCTGAAAACATAAAAATGACATGATTTTATATCAAACAAAAAAGACCTTAAAATACGTGTATTCAAAAAACCTGAAACTTTTTTTTTGTTTTATTTCAATATAAAAATACCAACCTTGGATACCTAAGTTATTTTACATGCTTATTTAAAAACTAAACTCAGCATGATATTTTATCTTTCATACATGGATTCGATCCTGATGAAACAGTTAAATCCACATTCTAATCACTCTGGTTTCCATTGCTAAAGTTATCTTTTCTAAAATCTACTATAGCTTAGAATCCTGATAATCTTATATATATTAGGTTAACACAGATGTATTTATAATAAATTCTTTCTAGTTAAGGATGTAGAATGCTTGATCTTCTTGACTCAATGCATGGGTTGTGCTTGTATCTTTATTTTTATGACTAGACAACTCATTCTACTATCTCCTAATGAGGGTAAAGTTCTAAAACTTAGTTTTATGGTTCACAGGCTGGCTGGTTGTCAGTTGTCTTAAACTCTGTGGTAGCTCTCAGAAAGGCTGATTCTATCAACAGCTGTAAAATATCAGAGTATTAACAGTGCCATGTTGTGCATGCATGGTGTCCCTTTTCGCACTTTTGGTGTGCATTGTCAAGGCTTCATTTAGAGCCATTTGTTACGGCTAAGGGTTTATTAATAGTAATGAGACAATTGCTTGGGCTATTAAATAGTGTAATGAGTACTATCTATGCTTTGAGTCAAATTCTTTAACAAATTTAAAAATGACTAAAGTACCAAAAACTATAAAACACAAAAAAACATCATCATCAACAAGTTCTATAAACCTATTTAGTTCTATAAATATAGTATTTGTGGTCTTGAAAGTAATTTTTCTTCTGTTGATTCTTATCTTTTGTAAAGTTCAACAAACCTACTTGCTCATTGTGAGACTAATTTGAGTTTGGCTGTATCATCTTGTGATCTTAGTTTTGATGGTTCAATTCTTAAAGATTCCAATAGTCACATTCTTGGACTGAACATTTACATTTTTAAGAATTTACCCATTTGTTGGGAAACTAGATGTAAATCAACTGACTATTCTTTTACGTGCTTTCGTTTAGCACCACTTCACTCTATCGCTTTTATCTTTGTTTTATATTGATCTTCTTTATCTCATAACTGAACTCTTTTCGATGTAATTTATGATCAAATTGACCAAGCCTTCTCCTTTTATCCATCAGCCAATATCGCTGTTACTGGTGACTTTAATGATCATCACACTGAATGGCTTGGTTCTAGTTTCAGTGATACTACAGGCATTAAGGTCCACAATTTTTGCCTTTTTCAATCTCTAACACAAATAGTAAACTTTCCAACTCACTTTTCATGCAACCCAAATCATTTACTTTCTCTACTTAACTTATGTCTTTTTTCTGATCCTAGTCAGTGCTCAGTTTCTCAACATTCGTCATTAGGTGCTTTTGATCTCATTTTTAATCATCATCAGAATCCCTCTATTATTGTACCTTTTACAACTACCTTAAAGCTGACTGGGATTTTTTCCATGATTTTCTTCATGATGGCCCTTGGATAGAAATCTTTCCCCTTTCTGCTAACCAATGTGCTTCTTATATAAATTCTTGGATTCAGGATAGCATTGAATCTTTTATTCCCTCTTGATAATTCCAAGTCAGGCCTCACTCTTCTTTACGGCTTTTCTCACATTGTGCTGCTGCAATTTCCAATCAAAACCAAAATTTCCATATCTATCAGCAAAACAATTCTCTAGGAAACAGACATCTGTTTACTATTGCTAGAAACAGTTTTATAAAAAGGTTTTGTCTAACGCCAAAACCCTCTATTTTCAGATCATGATATCTCATATTTTATCTCAAAAATTAGGCCTATGTAACTTCTGGAAAATCTTTTACATTATCAATTTTAAGAGCAAACTTGTTAGTCCATCTCTCTTGTATGGTTCAGACTTTGTCACCTCACCTTTTGACGAAGCTGACCTGTTTGCTAAGAACATTTCCTAAATATCATCTCTTGATTCTACTAGTTGCATTCTGATGTATCCAAAAAACTGGTTGATCCATTGCTTGACATTTGTATCATTCCAGCTTCTGTATCTAAAATGGTTTCCTGCTTAGACTTTTCTACAACTACTGGTCTGAACAACATACCTGTTATACTCTTGCAGAAGTTTTATCCAGAATTCTTGTCTATACTTTCAAAACTATTTTAACAAGTACTTATCAGAGTCTTGTTTTCCAGTATGCTGAAAAGCGGCATCTGTTATCCCATATTTTCAAAATTTTTGGAGAGCAATCTGACTTGTCTAACTACTGTTCCATTAGCCTTTTTCCTATCATAAGCAATATTTTTCTTTAACTAATAAACACCTAATCTCTCATCTTGAATCTAATAACTTTCTGATCATCTTGTTATACAGCTAATTTGCTAACAGTAATAACCTATAGGTTTTATTGTGCATTAGATAGAGGTAGAGAGGTTAAGGCTATTGCTCTTGATATTCCTCAAGCTTTTGAAAAAGTTTGGAGAGCTGGTCTTATCCATAAGCTTTTTTCTTACGGTGTATCAGGTAACATTTTAAAGATTGAATCCTTCATTTTCCAATCATAGTATAAAAGTTATTTCTTATAGACATCACTCTTCTTCATATCCTGTATCTTCTGGGGTTACTCAAGCTATCCTTGACCCTATACTCTTTTTAATTTATATTAAAGATCTTCCAAAAATTCTCACATCTAAGACTTTTCCATTTATTCTTGCCTTGATAGAAGCCAACACACTCTGATTGGCATTTGAGCTTGAAAAGGATCTTACTTCTGCTACAGCATGGGGTTCTTTTTCAACCAATCGTTATCGCCATACTTTAAATCTTCCTATATTTATGAATGTGCTTAATGATAATTTAAATCTTTCTATTTTTATGAATGTACATAATGTACTTAATGAGTCATCTATCCTTCATCTTCTAGGATAAACTCTTACTTCCAAACTTTCTTGAAAACCATATATCAAAACCATTGCAAAATTAGCATCTGCTAAGGTTGCATCTCTTTGACGTGCTTGACACTTTCTTACTATGTATTCTATTCTTTATCTCTATAAACCTCAATTCTGTTCTTTTATGGAATACTGTTGTCATATCTAGGACAGATTTTCCAATGATGTCTTTTCTTTTTCAGACAAAATAGACATTGAAAACATAGTTAGACCTGCTTTTGCAGCCAACCTCCAACCATTATAACATTGTCATAATGTCGCTTCTCTTTCTCATTTCTATAAATATTATAATGGGCACTGCTCTAAAGAGCTAGTGTCTCTTGTGCCACCTACTAAAATTCATTTTAATGTTACTCATCATTCAATCAAGTCTCATTTTTTTCTGTGACTGTTCCTAAGTGCGTTAAAAAACTCCTATTTGTCTAGTTTTTTTCTTCGACATCAGTCCTTTGGAATTTGCATCTTTTATCTTGCTTTCTAACTCATATAATTTGCAATCTTTTAAGTCGTCTGTCAATTGTTATTTTGTTCTATAAACTTAATCTTTTCTCTTCCAGTAACTTCCAACTCTAATAGTAGTTGTTTGCAGCCTTGCTGGAACCAAAAATGTTGGGAAAAAAAACATTCCTTTTACAATAATGGGTAATACAAAAGTATTATCTAGTAATCAAAATTATTTAACAAGTGTTTATTTGAACAGGTAAGAACCTGCTGGATAATGACATCTGTGGTTTAAATTTTAAAAGATTTTGAGCTCTTTGTTGCTCTGACCCTGCTAATAGTTGCCAAAATTCTTTTTCAATTATTCAAAAGATCTTTAAATGTTTAATAAACTCCTAATATCTTATCTTGAACTGAATAACTTACTTTCTAACAATCAACCTGGATTTTAACTCTCTTCTTTTATATCTGATTTGTAAAGAATAAAAAAAGGTTTTGTTATGCATTAAATAAAAACAGTGACACAAAGGTTATTGTTCTTGAGCAAAAATTATGATTATCTTATAATTTATAAAAAACGATTAGAAATGGCCTCCTCTGAAAATGATGCTGAAAATGAGACCCTTACAATTGAAATAATTATAATGAAAATAACATTACATTTGGTACTACACTAACTTGTTACCTTTTGGTAATATTATTAAATTTTCTAACTTGTTACTTGTTACCTGTTGTCAGTATTATCTACTAAACATTTATCAAAAACGACAATAAAAAAATAGTTTATTTTGTATAGGAGAGGTGAAACAACCGATGTCGCAAAACTTGCCTCTGAGCAAGTTTTGCGACATCGGTTGGGAAGGAGGCGTGAACTTCCTATTAAATGCTCTTTCGCGGTGCTCTGTGATAAGACCGTAAGGACTTCTTGGGGCACCTAAACCAACTTAAAAAAAAAAAAAAACTTAACTAAACTCTATAATTAAGAAAAGTTGAAGTGTATTGAAGTTGTTGTGTATTCAAACAAAAAAACTAACAAATTTAATAGTTTTTTTTTATAAATGCATCAAAAATAAGCATTTTGAAAAAATTAGTATCTTTCTAACAATCAACCTGGATTTTAACTCTCTTCTTTTATATCTGATTTGTAAAGAATAAAAAAAAGTTTTGTTATGCATTAAATAAAAACAGTGACACAAAGGTTATTGTTCTTGACATATTAAACGCTCTCAATTAAGCTCAGCATGCTGATTTTCTCTTCATAGAGTTAAGCTAGGTAAGTCTTTAAAAATAATTACATAATTCCATTCTAATGGTAGTGTTAAAATCACTCTTAATGGTAAAATTCTGTGTTAAACCTGTGTTCTTTATAATCTAAATTAATGATCTTCTTAGAAATTTAACCTTAAAAGTGGCTTGATTTCTTAATAAAGCAACTATATACTACAATCTTAATAAAACGCTATGACTTTTTGATCAACAAATAATAACCAAATGTGATCCTTTTCAGAAATAGCTTGGGGTTTGCAGTAACTAGTGAGTTCTAGCCCATACAAGACTAAGTTGTTTACAAATATTAATTGTCAAAAACAATGTGAAGTTAAATCCTTTTTTCTGTAGCTGATTTTTCATGCTCACAACTCTTAACTTGTTTAGTTTTTTTTATAAATATTATTGATTTCAAAATCATGCCTGTTGCAAAATTTACAGCATAAATCTTCTCAACTCACTTCTTGTTTATCAACTTTCTCATTGTTTATCGACTCTCTTCTTAATTAACAACACTCTTCTTGTTTATCAACTCTCTTCTTGTTTATCAATTCTCTCCTTGTTTATCAGCTCTCATCTGGTTTATCAACTCTCTTTTTTTCTTTTTATTAAAACACAACTTAAATGTTGCTGCAAAAAGAAAAAAAAAAAAAAAAAATCTAATATAGCAACTGTAGTAAATACTTGCTTTAACATGTTGTTAACTTATCAATCTTATCATCTGTTGTTAACTTATCAATTTACTTCTTAAAGTTATTTAAAACTAAAACTCAATATTTACTGCATTGAATAACATTTCTTTAAGCACAACATTTAAACTATTTCACTGCAGAGCCTTATTTATCATGAATTGTACTATGAAGTTATAAAGTGAAGAGAACATCAAAATGATATTTTTAATTTGCCTAATGTATACTTAAAAAGATACAGAGCCATAAATAAAGCTAAAGCTAAAAAAAATTTTAATATAATTCTCATTAATATTTATGTTAAAATTAATTGATTATATAATAAATATTTTATTTTAGCAAGCCAACTGTCAAAAAGTAGTTTCAATTTGGTAGCAAAAATGACTTTAACTTTCATTAATAAAATTTAGGTTTTTAAACATTAAACACAGAAAAATAAAGTTGAATGCAATCTGAGAAAAACTAATTATTAAATCTAATATGATTATTAACAATCATGATAATATTGTTTAACCTATTTTAATCATTTCATTAGCATATTTTTTGTGAAGTTTTGATAAATAAATATGTTAAACTGATCTATAAAATTGAATTTAAAAAATTAAGAGTAAATGTTGTTAGACTTTTTTTAAATGTAAAGCTTGCATACAGAGTTCATGACTTCAATTTTATATTTGATTAGAATAAGTGAGAAGTAGAAACAGAGGTTATTTGGTTCATTATTATTATTATTACTTTTTTTATTATCTTTTCAAAAAAAATGGATTTAAATAAAACCTATTTAACAAATTGCTATTACAAATGCACATTATTGTATAATAATTATATAACAAAGAAAAAGTTTAAAAAACACACCATTTCCAGTCCATATTATTCTTAATTCAATATCATTTTTGTGGAAAGAACAATAGGTAGAAGCTTGATCCAATACACTATCAGGCATCACAACAATACCAATATATGTCACTGCCCCAGAATATTTTTTTAAAACATTCTTATAGAGACTCAACAAATCAATACTGTTACCACTAGAAGACAAGTGATGGATGATATATTGTTCATTTGAAAGAAACAACTTTGAATAATCATAAATCATATTTTTCAAATCTATAAATGTATTATTAAATGTATTTTCTTCAGACATGAGCAAATAAACACGCACTTTAAATCCATTCCCACAATAGACAGAGTTACACTGATTATCAATTTTAAAATTCAAACTTGTTACAACTACATTCAAAGGCAATGTAACTTTATATGTTAACAAAGATGTTGATGGATAAGTATTATATTGCCCTATTATAAAACAGACGTCTGGATTATCACTTATTTGTAGCAGTTTTATCCATGTGTAAAAAGCAGCAGCAGAATATATAGAGTAAAATTGCTTTTGATCTAAAATTATGAAAAAAATTGTAAACAATTTAAATATGAGACATTGAATTATTAATACAGACCTCACTTTAAAAGCAAGTGCTCTGCTTACGAAGTAAATTAAAAACAGACTATAAATAAAAAATTACATAATAATATATAAACATTTTATAAATATGGGTGAAGTTTTTTCAAATTTAATTTTAAGCAAATGGAAGGTGAAGCTAACTATTAATAAACATAAAATTAGGTAAAACTTAAAAAGTTTATTTACAACTTTTGAAAAATCAAAAAAAAATTATAACTTTGCTCCTGAAAGTAACAACAAACTAAGAAAATTTCAGTATTGTAGAGTTTCTTAATATCATTATCTTTAGATAACTTCTATTAAAAAAAACCCAGTGCTCAGCTTACAAAGTAAATTGAAAACAGACTATAAATAAAAAAATACATAATAAATATTTAAATACTTTAAAAAGATAAGTGAAGATTTTTCAAATTTAATTTTGAAAAATTTAGAAGAGGTGAGCTAACTATTAATAAAGCTAAAATTAAAAATTATAAGACAAAGTTTATTTTTAACTTTTAAAAAGCTAAAAAAAGTATAACTTTGCCCCTGGAAGTTATTTAAAAACTAAGAAACTTTTAATACTGTAAAGTAATTTTATGACATAAGCACTTTATGAATTTTATTTGTTACAGCATTTTTGTAGATAATTTCTATTTAAAAAAAATCAAACTTTCTATTAAAATTCTATATTTGAATTCTAACAACTATTAATAACTAGTCTAAAAAAAGAACTTAATTCCACTGCTGGTCTTTTTGTGTTTTATTTTCAAAAAGATCTCCAAAAAGCTGGAAAACACAATAAATTACCATTTTTATAATCTAAATATAATTTCTTTTTATAAATCAATTTAGTTTTAAATAAAATGTTCTTATTTTCTTTTTAATGTATAAAGTATATAACTTAACAATACAACATACAAGTATTAAATATGAATATATTTAATACTTGTATCTTGTATTGTTAACAATAATAACAACAACAATAATAATAATTATAACATTAATAGTAATAATAAAAATAGTAACAATAATGTAAGCAGTAGTAATAATATTGATATTAATAATAATAATAATAATATACAATATCAATAACAAAATTTGTTTGTAGAAGTAGAATTGTAGAAGTAGAAACACTTCTTCTACAAATTTTGTTTGTAGAAGTTTGTTTTAAGACAATAAAATTTAAACTACGATTAGATCAAAGATGATAAAAACTAAGACAAAGTAGCAGTTTAAGAGTTGAATATAGTCACATAGTTTTAGAAATTATATAAAGAACATTAGGATTAATATTAGGATGCTGGAAAAAAGTTCTTGGAAATAAAATCTTTAAAGCATTGTTTTGGAGATTTAATTAACAACATGGATGCTCCTACGCCTAAAATCTTAGATGTGAGCTAAAAATTAGCTCACATCTAAGATCCAAAGTGATTCTAATATCCTAATTGTAGGAGATTAAAATAAAGGTAAACTTTAGCTAGAATGCCATTGCATCTGATCTGCTTTGTAGGATCTACTTTGTAGGGGTTTCAAAAAAAAATTTCAAAAGGCGAATACACAAGAAGCCAAATTTGGGGCAAATATAAAAAAATTAGAATTACAAAAAAATATTTAAAAATATTTACATTTACCTTGAGCTCAAGTGACAAATTCCCCCCAAAAATGCCCCCAAATTATTCTTAAATTATTTGGCTTTGAGCACAAGGTAAATCTCAATATTTTTTTAATTTTTTTTTTTTAATTTTTAATAGTTAATTTTTTTTCATAATGATCCACATTTTTTTTTAGATTGTTGTGTATTCTAGTTTTTTTATAATGGTTGTTTAAATTAAAAAAAGAATTCACAAAAAAAGGATTTTGCGTAAATAAGCAAAAAAATAAGGTTTTTTTTTTACATAAATTTTGCAAAATCTTTTTTTATTTTAAACAACAATTATGAAAAAATCAGGATGCACAACAATCTAAAAAAAATATTGGACCATTATGATTAAAAAATTTTGGACCATTATGATTAAAAAATTTTGGATCATTATGGTTACATTAGAAAAAAAAAATTTATAAAATATTAAGATTTACCTTGCACTTAAAGCCAAATAATTTAGTTAAAATTTGGGTCATTTTTTGAAGTACTTTTCAAGAGCACAAGGTAAATGTCAATATTTTTGGCTATTTTTTTTTTGTTTGATTTGATTTAAAGATAAAAGTTCAGCTTTATTAAAATTAAGAGAAAGTTTGTTGGAATGAAGTGAGTGAACTACACTGGCTATATTTTATTAGATTTATTTAGATCTTATTAAATCTATTTAGATCATTAATATGAAGAAGGATTAGCAGTGGTCCTAACACTGAACCCTGAGGAACACTATTGGAATATTTTGCAAGGGTAGATTTTGGGCTATTGATAGAAACAAATTGTGTTCTGTTGTGAAAATATGTAGTACACCATTAAAGGATACAATGAAATGAAGTTAAAATACAGTAAAAAAAGATGCTAAAACAAAATCTAACAGTATAATATAAAATTTGGGGTCAGTTATTGAAGATTTTGATAAAAATATTAAGAAATAAGAACAACAGTAAAAATAAAAAGATAAACAATAAAGGTTGTGAAAAAAAAACTTAAAGCTAATTAAACTCTGTCATACAACAAACCATTTAAATTAAAACTAACAATCCCAAAAAAATTAAATATAGAGAAAATACTGTTAACAGTATTTTCTCTATCTATACTGTTAACAGATAAAATAATTAAACAATTACATATGAAAGAAAAATAATGTTAAACAATATTAAAAAAACTTGCAAGAATATATCATAATAATAAAAATAAAAAATTATAAAAAAATAAAAAATAATTAAAAAAAAACTCTAAGCACCATTAAATAAAATTATATATTAATTTATATATGATTTTAAATTTATAGAATTAATAAAAAATATATAATCTAGATAGATAATCTAATGATAAGTAATATATTATTAAGTAAAATGTGAATCATAAACAATATGCAATAAAATAATCAAAAAAATATATATATAAATATAATGAACAGGAAAATAATGATAAGTAACTAATTAGAAAATGAATACAATTCCTCCATTTGCAAAGAAATATTACCATCAAAAATTATTCTTTTATGTTGGTTTTGATAAATATTTAACCACAACAGTTAATTTAATAATATAGTGCTATTTAAAAATGTCTTCTTACACCCACTATACTATCCACCCACTTTACATCATAAATAACACTAAAATAAATGAATTAGTTTTTAAAAAATTTTAGAGACGCATTATGTCCCCAAGAGATAAAAGCATCTTTAATTAAATAATATATTTAAAAAAAAACAGAAAAAATCAATTCTATATTAAAAAACATTTTTATGATATAAAATTTAAATTAATAACTTTTATATCTTTTTTATACTTTCTATTCACTTTATTATTTTAAACAAAAATAATTTAATAATATTTAACAAATTTAAATTAATGCCCTTTTTTAGAAACTTAAATAGATGTACTTTTTTAGAAAATATTTTAAATAATATTCATACTCTTTTTCTCTTTGGTGATTTGTCTTCACCAGAATTAAGAAGTCTTGGCTGCCCACCTCCCCCCCCCCCCCCCCCCAATAAAACTTTAAAACTTCAATTACTACAAATATTTTAAATTTAAGATGTATTATTCAAAATCTATTAATTCCGATTATTAATTTAAGATTAATTTAAGATGCATTAATTCAAATTATTTAGAATGTGATGTTAAAACTGTTATGAAAAAATATATGTTATTAAATTTTTAATTTTTTATTTAAAACTTGAGTATCACAGAGGAGTATCACAGAGGAGGAGTATTTACAGAATTTTTATTGCTCAAAATCATTGTACGTGTTTGTTTTTATGTTTTCGATTTGCTTCAGTTAGTGTTTGCTCAACATATTTTTTAGTGATGACTGAAGAGGCCATTGACCACTCCAAATAAATGATATTTGGCTTGGTTTCAACATATCCTGCTTATTAGTGAACCCGCTTTTGTATTTGACTAAATCAGTAAGTGGCAAAAAACTTCATCAATTGTTGTTTGTTGGTTTTTTCAATAACCGCTTCCAACAAGGCTGCAAGCAACCACCATTAGAGTTGGAATTACTGGAAGAGAAAAGATGAAGTTTATAAAGCAAGATAACAATTGATAGACAACTAAAAGATTGCAAATTATATGAATCAGGAAAGCAAGATTCAAATTCCAAAGAACTGATATTCGAGGGGAAAAACTATGAGTAAGAGTTTTTGAAGCACTTTGGAACAGTCACAGAAAAAGGATGAGACTTAATAAAATGACAAGTAACACAAGAATGAATTTTAGTAGATAGCACATTAGCATTTTAGAGCAGTGCACTTATAGTATTTGTAGAAAAGAGAAAGAGAAGCAACATTATAACAATGCGATAATAGTTGGCTGCAATAGGTCCAACTATGTTTACTATGGGTTTTTGCATTTGTTTATACAATTGATAAAGTCTTGTAAAAGGTAACTGTTACAAGACTTTTTTTTTTTTAAACATTCTTTACAATTTAAAAAAGTCCTAATGTAATGTCTTTTTTTATAAGTGAGACTTGCTTTTTCATTTTACAATTATTACTTCAATGGAGATTTAAATTTCTATTTAAAATCAAATCTTATCTTAAACTAAAAACCTTAAAAAGTTAATCTTGTTGCTAAATACTGATTTGAAAACCGGAGTAGTAAAAACCTTTCACTGTGAACTCAATAACTTTCAAAGTTATTCAAGTTATTCATTATATATATAGTACATTATGTTAATAAGGTTTTAAACATTTTGTAAAAGAATTTAATAAATTTTTGATTAAAATTTATTAATTTATAATTTGATAATTACTAGTAAGTATATTTAACAAAAATTAAAGTTGGTTTTTACTTTCAAGCTTTAGTCTTATTTATGATTTTATTTACAGCAGTTTATATGGTATTATTTAAATTTTGTTTCAACAAAATTTTTATTAACTCTTTAAAAAAAAGTATCTACCACTAATAATTTACCTTTACGACCCAAAATATTTACATCAACTGGATTAATTAAATAACTTGCATCAAACTTTAACATTTGTGTTTTAATAAAATTATTTACAACAATGATACTGTTATCTCCACTTCCTTTTTCAAACTAAAATAATAAAAATGACATTTAAACTATTATTATATTCTCTCACACAAATAAGTAAAATAGAAATAATTTAATATTTATTAACTTTAATATATACATATATACATATATATATATATATATATATATATATATATATATATATATATATATATATATATATATATATATATATATATATATATATATATATATATATATATATATATATATATATATATATATGATATATATATATATATATATATATATGTATATATATATATATATATATATATATATATATATGTATATATATATATATATATATATATATATATATATATATATATATATATATATATATATATATATATATATATATATATAAGTATATATATATATATATATATATATATATATATATATATATATATATATATTTATGTATATATATATACATATATATGTTAATATATACACACAGACACACACACACACACATATATATATATATATATAAATATATATATATATATATATATATATATATATATATATATATATATATATTTATATATATGCATCAAAGTAATAATTGCATACATATATGTATGTATATAAATAAAACTTGTTATAATTGTGTGTGTATGTATATGAATATATATACACACAATTATATAGATATATAGAAATATGCATATTATTTTTTTTTTTAAATATTTTCACTTCCAAATAGGCTGCAAGCAACCACTAATTAGAGTTGGAAGTTAATAAAAAGAAAAGATGTAGATTGTAGAGCAAGATAACAATAGAAAGACAACTTAAAAGATTGTAAATTATATGAATCAGGAAAGCAAGATGAAGGAAGCGAATTCCGAAGAACTGATGTTCAATGAAAAATACTAGATGAATAAGAGTTTGAGTTGGAGCACTTAGAAACAGTCACAGAAAAAGGATGAGACTTTATTAAATAAGGAGTAATACAAGAATGAATTTTAGTAGATGGCAGAAGAGACGCTAGCTCTTTAGAGCAGTGCCCATTGCAATATTTGTGGAAAAGAGAAAGAGAAGCAACATTACAACGATGTGCTAATGGTTGAAGGTTGGCTGCAATTGCAGGTCCAACTATGTTTACAATGCATTTTTGCACCTTGTCTAAAAGAGAAAGGGCATCATTAGAAGATCAGTCCCAGATATAGCAACAGTATTCCATAAAAGGCTGAATTTGATATTTATAGAGATAGAGAATAGAGTATATAGTAAGAAAGTGTCGAGCTCGATAAAGAGATACAACCTTAGCAGATGCTAATTTTGCAAAGGATTTGACATATGGTTTCTAAGAAAGATAGGAAGTAAGATTTAATCCGAGAAGATGAAACGTAGATGACTCATCAAGTACATTACCGTTCATAAATATAGGAAGGTCTAAATTATTGCAATAATGATTGGCTGAAAAAAATTGAGTTTTATCTGAATCAATGTCTGGCAACTCCCGATAAATATATGTAATTTTATCCACAAAGTGTTGTGGAATGTTTTGTGGGACCAAGTAATCATACACAATGCAACTCTTAGTGAAATATTTATACTTTTGCATTATTCTTACCAGAGGGCTTCCCATAAAAAAATTTTCTTTTATAAATTAAAATAATTTTAAAACTATTTCATAACATTCCTTTTATAACATTTATATATCATCTAACATTAATATGTTGACACAGCTGTAAATTTAATGTAAATTTAACATGTTTTGCATAAATCATTTTAATCATGTTATCACTGTATTCATATCATATTATTTTAAATATATATTCCATATTAGTTTAAATATATACCCCTTAATTAGATGCTAAATATACAGTTAATAATACTGAGAAAAAACAACAATAATAAATAAGAAATATCTTGCTTCAAGAATTATCATTAATATAAAATCAAGCATGTATAATGCGAGCTAACTTGTTTTTACATTTCTTGTTTCTTGGTGATTATAAAACCTTATATAATAAGATATTCTCATATGAATACTATGTCTTATTAAACTCTCTTCTAAATGAAAAGCATGATCAATATGTTCATAATAAATAAATGTAAAATTGGAACCGTTTTTTATTACTTTAATAATTTGTTGTATAATATTTTTTTAGTTAATATAAATTTCATCTGTGTTATAAAAACAGTTTCCATTTCGTGAAATAGGTTTTGTAAAAAAGAATCAGAATTAAACAAGTTACTTTCACAGGGTGTCACACTTGAAAGAACTTGTGCACATATTTGACAGACTTGAACTTTCTTTATCAAATCATCTGCAATTAATTTCAAAACCTTTTTAACTGACTGTGAAACTGAATCAGTTGGAACAGTTTGTAATGCGTAAGGTTTTTGTTTCTTTTTAAATAATGCAGTTGGATTAATAATAATAACAGTTGGTTTGAATCAATTGTTCATTTGCAGAAATTTGATTCTCAAATACTATATTGGTGATTGAGTCAATGGTAACTGCAGCTGAGAAATCTGATTCAGGGAGACAATTACTGTTAGAATTAGATTATTCTATTGAAAGGAGTACTTAGACATTTTTATATGCTGATTTAAACTGCATTGCTATTAGTCTGTCATTCCAGTCTCCTTTGCTTCGTAATAATGCAAAAAAAATTTCTAAACATTCGTGATTAAACTGAGCTGTGCAAACATAAAAAAAATCCTCATGAAACAACTTGTTTGCAAGACAAAGAATATTAGAATTAGTGGCATCTAAACCGCAATGACTGGATATACTTTTTTGGCTGAGAGCACCAGAAAAATGCCAACCCTTAATCCAAACTCTTAAATCTTCAAGCTTTTGTATAAAACTACTATTTAGAGTTAAAGCAGAACGTGTTGATTTATCTGCTTTTAGTTTACGAGAGTTCAATATGTCAAATAAAATATCCATATTTTTAATAAAAAAGGCTGTTGACAAAACATTTTTAGGCAATAGATTTGCAGAGGCGTATGCAGTCAAAGCAATAGCAACTTGACTACTAAAAATTTGTGTTGCCAGTATTATTAAATTGTTTATAACATTTTTTATAAGATGTCATGGATCAAATATTATATAAACTTTTGCTCGTGTAGTTGGATGTGAAATTTGTTGTTTTAATAATGAAAATCCTAAAAATTTGAGAGCTCTTATATTACTCAAGCTTTGATCACAAACAAGACATCTTACAGCTAAACCTATTATATCTAGATGAATCATGGCATTATTTACTATCTTAGCTAAATTGGTTGAGCACATAGCAGTATTACTGCAAAAATATGCAATTGGTTGTTTCCATTTTGTTGATAATCCGCGGACAATCAATACAAGTACTTGGTTTACTGGTTTGCCATTAGATTGAATCCCAATGATTTGTCATTGTTTTTGTCATAATCAATATGTTGCTTTTAAGGCATTTTATTAAAAACAAGACTACAGTTTTGTTCCAATTTTGTCATGGTATCTGCTAGCATTTTTAGTAAAGCCATAACCTTATTGGAAAAGCCAGATTCAAGGGTCCCAAAAGATTTTTCAAGAAACATTAAAATAGTGCTTCTAGAAGATAAAAAAAAAATTTTTCTAAACATTTTGAAAGCTTGTGGACTGCGATACATGATTCTTAAAGCTAAAATTTTATCTTCAACAGTCCAACATTTTCCTGTTTGACACGATTATTCATACGTAATTGACTTTCAAAAAATTGAAGTTGAGTATTTGTTAAATATATTTTAGGCAAATTAATAATATGTTCTATGGAACCATTGTATTTTTTTAACATATCATGTTTTATCTTCAGGTTTTAATTTTTTTTTTTTAAGTCGAGAAATCTTAACTTGAGAAGATGAATATTTATTTTTAAAAGTAGTTTTGACAGTTACATTATTTGTACTGCTATTCTCAACACTATTTATTTTATTTAATTGGACTTTATCATTGATTTCTTTTTTTTTGTATTTTATCTTGTAAATGAAGTCTGTTTGTAGGCTATTTCCTCTTCAAATTTAAAGTAAAAGATTGATTTGGAAAGTTAAGAATTGTTGGTACAGCAGTTACAAGTGTTCTTTTACTAACATTATTGGCAAGATAGTATTGGGAAGAATCAAAATGTTCATTACAAATAGTATAGTTAAGATTAAGTTCTTCACATGATTTTGTATCGAGATCTTGACGACGACAATTACGAACCCAAAGTTTAAACCATACATCATATTAATATTTTTTGTTTCATAAAATTTAAAGTAAAACAATATTTTAAAAGTTTCTTTAAATTCTTGATATACTAGTTATTTAATAAATTTGATTTGACTAATAATTACTTACCTATTTTTATCTTTTGGAAACCTTGAAAAGTGAAATCTAATAACATTATAATATATAATATATTTAGCAGACAACAAAGATGTATCGTAAATTTATGGTGTTTATAATATAGTCCCTTAAGACATCCCATAATTCAATGTACAGGCAATTACACATAAATATATGGATTTTTAGTCGAGTTGGCAGGCTTTGATTTGAATTGAAGTTCACCAGCCACTGTGATTCCCATGCTGTAGCAGAAGTGAGATTCTTTGCCTCAACTCAAATGCCTCTTTAAGCAATCAGAGAGTGTTAGCTTCTTATCATAACAAGAATAAATGGTAGTATCATCAGCAAGCAATGCCACCTTAGATGTGAGAATATCTGGAAGATCGATTTCGATTGGCAATTGCAGCAGCATAATGTGAGGAAAACCATGGAGAAGAGAGAGACTTGACCTGGAATCTTTAGGAGGGAATAAAAGAATCCATGCCTGAATCCACAAAATTATGTAAGAAGCACCTTTGTCAATGGGAAGACAAAAGATTTCTACCCAAGAGCCATCACGAAGAAAATCATGGAAAGAGTCCCAGTCAGCTTTAAGGTAGTTGTAAGAGGTACAATGATAGGGGGATTCAAGAATGAGATAATAGTTGTAGAGAGATAAAACTGTGATCAGAAGCACCTAATGGCAAAT